TGCTCCGTAGATTGGTCATCAGCTTGTTTAAATTCTCCTGTGGGATTATGTGTAGCAGCTTAGATTAGAAAAATCTGCTTCTGTACACTTTGTCTCTGCATGCCAAGGAATTAATATATTGAAACTTAGGAGAAAGAAGCTTTCAAATTAAAAATTCAGATTTAATCAAACCTTCTATATATCTAAGTATTTTCATTAAAAGAAAGTTTTAAATTCTACACCTTAGTCTGGAGGAAATAAAACACCACTATAAATATTTTAACATAAGACTGTATAGGATTAATATTTATATGACACCTTGGATTCTGAAAATTGTGTTTCGCAAAGAATGTAAGTGAACTTTTAAAAGAAATTCAGGGGGTCAGTGGAAGAATTCTTGAAACACATCTCAAATGTGAACATATAATTACTAGGAAAAGGCCATGAATGACTTCTACTCGCTTCATACTTACTACTCTTTCATGAGAAAACCAAGGTTTTGAGAAGAAAAGCAGTTTAGATAGCTGAGATTTGAAACTATGTTCATGTCCCTTTACACTTATGTTCATACATTACCCGGAAAAGAGCTGAAACAGTCTGGAAAGAAGAACCCTTCTTCTTGCCACCCTTCTTGCCACCACCAGCACCACCACCACTAGCCTCTTCAAAAAGAAAAAAGTTTTTTATTATCTTTTATTTTGCATCTTTACATATCACAAATGTTGGTAAAAAAGAATTATAAAACTAACCTGTTTCTGCTCCACCATAGGAGGCAAAAAGTAAAGCCAGTGTCTTCACAGATGATTTCTGGTACAACCCAATGACAGTTTCATTCAGGGGGTCTTTGTTCTTCTCAAGCCAACCAGTGATGTTGTAGTCCACTGTGCCAGCATAGTGCACCAGGGAGAAGTGGGCCTCAGCCTTGCCTTTGGCAGGCTTGGGCTTCTGGAAGTTGCTTGACTTGCCCAGATGCTGGTCATAGAGCTTGTTCTTGAAAGAGGTGTCAGTTGCCTTGGGGAACATGCACTCCTCTTCCAGGATGGAGAAGATGCCCATAGGCTGGAAGACAGTACAACAATGAAGAATGATTTCCTGTGGAATAATATTATCACCATTTGGTCTTAGAGAGAATGTAGTGAAAGACAGGAAACTGAGAAATAAACTAATACCCTTACATTCAAGAAAATCTCTTTGTAAAAAGTGAGCTTGAAAGATTCTCTTGCTTGATTTACACTTTGGCACATGAATTCAGGAATGTTTTTTTATGCCAAAAACCGTGTTAAAATATCAGGAGGAGAAAGGTTATACTTAAAATACCTTTTACAAGTTTGTCCACTGTCTATTTCACACAGAATCACAGAATGTTAGGACCTTGAAAGCTCATCCAGTCCAACCCCTGCCAGAGCAGGATCACCTAGACCAGGTCACACAGGAACTCATCCAGGCAGGTTTTGAATGTCTCCAGAGAAGGAGACTCCACAACCTCTCTGGGCAGCCTGGGCCAGGGCTCTGCCACCCTCACAGTGATAAAGGTTTTCCTTATGTTTACATGGAGCCTCCTATACTCCAGCTTGTACCCATTGCCCCTTTTCCTATCATTCAACATCACTGAGAAGAGCCTGGCTCCTTTCTCCTGACATTCATCCTTTATTTATTTATAAACATTAATGAGGTCACCCCTCAGTCTCCTCTTCTCCAAGCTAAAGACACCCAGCTCCCTCAGCCACTCCTCACAGGTCAGATGCTTTACTCCCTTAATCATCTTTGTGGCTCGGTGGCTCTTTCAAGCAGTTCCCTGTCCTTCTTGAACTGAAGGGCCCAAAATTGGACACAATATTCCAGATGCAGTTTCACCAGGGCAGAGTAGAGGGAAAAGAGAATCTCTCTCGACCTACTCACCACACCCCTTCTAATACACCCCAGGATGCCATTGGCCTTCTTGGCCATGAGGGCACAGTGCTGGCTCATGATCATCCTGCTGTCCACCAGGACCCCCAGGTCCCTTTCTGCAGTGCAGCTCCCCAGCAGGTCAGTTTCCAACCTGTACAGATACATGGGGATGTTCTTTCCCAGATGCAAGACTCTACACCTGCCTTTGTTGAATTTAATTAAATTTCTCCCTGCCTAACTCTCCAGCCTGTCAGGTCTTGCTGAATGACAGCACAGCCTTCTGGAGTGTCAGCCAATCCTTCTAGTTTTGTGTCGTCATCAAACTTGCTGACAGTGCACTCAGTTCCCTTGTCCAGATCATTGATTAATATATTGAATAGTACTGGTCCCAGTACCAACCCCTGAGGGACTCCACTAGATACAGACCTCCAACTAGACTCTGTCCCATTGGCCACATTTCTCTGATTTCTTTCCTTGAACCAGTTCACAATCCTCCTCTCTACCCGATCATCTAGATTACACTTCCTAAGTTTAGCTGCAACAATGCTATGGGAGACAGTGTCAAATGAATGAATTTATGAATGATGAGATTGCTTAACTGATCCCTAACCAAGCCTTCATCAACCAAGGCAAACTTCTCATTTATCCTGACTTCCTCTGAGGCCTCAGGGGTCTGGGGCTCCTGAGGACAATCTCAGCAGTGTAGACAGAGACAAAGGAGGCATTCAGTAGCTTCGCCTTCTTACTATCCTCTGTCACCAAGACACCCAGTTACACGCAGTTTACTTCAGCTTTTGTACTTTTAATCAGCTCCCTAAATTATACAGAACAACAAGAAATCTCTTTCAGTTTTTTGCCCTTAAAAGTCAGGCACTGACAATGTTGGCCTGTACTTACTTTATTATGAACCACTTCGGAAATGTATTGTCCAGATAACTTTATTCCAGACCCTTAAATAAATATTTTTAGTTTACTTTGGGAGCTGCTCTGTTTTTGAAATAAATATATTTCAATCAAGTAATCTGAGATACCTTTTCTCACAGAGAAGGCACGTGAGGAATGACTTCCATAGTTATTTGTAACTTTGTAATATCTATAACGCATAATAAGCAACAGTACAGAACAAGAGATATTTCAACAACTAAAAGCGAATGTATGAAACTAACCATGGAAGAGAGCTTTTTTAAAAACAACATTTAATTATTTTTAATTTAAAATAATGAGATCTTGAAAATAGAAGACGTTTTAAATTTAAAATTTACCTTCTCAATGAGCTCAATGCAAGCTGCCAGGTCCATCCCAAAGTCAATGAATGTCCATTCAATCCCTTCCTTCTTGTACTCCTCCTGCTCCAGCACGAACATGTGGTGGTTGAAGAACTGTTGCAGTTTCTCATTGGTGAAGTTGATGCACAGCTGCTCCAGGCTGTTGAACTTCACAGCGGAAAAAAAAGCAACAACAATCCATCATCAACATGCAAAATTCCTGATCATTCTGAACACCTTATAAATCTCTTCAGTCAAAGCACAACTGTATTATCAGGACTGCACCATAGCAGGACCTATATGTAGCTCCCCAAAGAAATAGCTACATAATGAAAATGGAAAGTTTTTCAAAGTAGGTATTCCTGGTGAACCTCCTAAAATTCATAAAGTACTTTGGCTTATTTTTAGCCATAAAGATAAGTGTATGCCCTGGTTTCCAATTTTTAAACACTTTATATCTCTTATTAAAAACTTACTTATTAATTCCTTGACCATCTAAATAATTACACATTTTAAACTGTCATCTGCTTGTCTGTAGTTCTCCAAATCCTAGTTCTGCTCTAGAAGCTCTTATATAAAATATTGTAATTACGTTGAGCTTTTTAATCATTAAAATTAAGTTCAAACTGTTAAAATACAACATAACATTCTATTTGCCACTTCTACACAAAAAGCGTAACTCTGTACTTGGACTCATGAAGCTTTTGAGGATTCTGCTCTGTGCTACAGACTATTACTTAGAACTCCTCTACTATAGCAGTCTTTTCCTGCAAAAGCAGTCCCCAGATCTGGAATCCTTACATCAAAGATCTCGAAGCCAGCGATGTCCAGGACACCAATGAAGTACTGTCTGGGCTGCTTGGTATCCAGCTGTTGGTTGATGCGAACAACCATCCATAAAAACATCTTCTCATAGACAGCCTTTGCAAGAGCACCCACTGAATTGTTCACCTAAAACAAAGAGGAGTGGATCAGAAGAAAAACAGTATCTGAAGCAAATATTAAGTTATAAAAGCTAGAGTTTCCCAGTCTCAAGATGGTTGTTACCTGCTGCACAGTTTGACCCTTGGTCACATACTCATTCCCAACCTTGACTCGGGGGTAGCAGAGGGCCTTCAGCAGGTCAGCTGAGTTCAGACCCATCAGGTAGGCAGCCTTGTCAGCAACTAAGTAGAAGGACAAGGCGATAGAAAAATTAAGACTAACAAGATATGCAGCATTTTGAGAGACGAACCCTTTTTGAATCAACTGCAAGATTGAATGTCCTTGTGATCAAACTCTGCTTATCGGATCTCAGAGGAAGCATGACATTAATTAAAATAAAAATAATACTTATTTTGAAAGCTTTTCAAAGCAGTAAACCTAAATGCTATTTCTGTCTTTATAAACCTTCACAGAAGCATCTATAAACAATGTGTTTATTAAAAATTCATTCTGAAAGCCGAAGTTCATCACTTCAGTCCAGAATTAATTGCTATCTATAATCTAGGCAAAAAACCACTGAAGTTTTAGTGCCTTGACCATCTAAGTGTAATCCAATACATGCACTTAGGTACTTGGGCCACCTGTATTCTTTAGCAGCAGCTATAACCCAAAAGGTGAATTCATTCCAAAATTAGAGGTAAAAATTAAGAATCGCCCCTTTCTGGAGACTTATTATTATAGACATAGCAGAAAGACAAGCATATTTATTCGTTCAGGATCAAAACCTAAAAATTCAATCTTGAAGCTGGACATCTGAGTGCATTCTTCAAAAGAAGTAGATAGGGCTTAGTAATTTTAAACTATGTATGCTTTATGTAACACTTCAGTCATTAAGTAGTCAGCTGAGAAGTAAAAATCTAAGTCAGTTTTCCCCTAGCTTAGTGTACCTATGCTTCACTTAGACTGATGTTCAAATAATACTACTATGTAGTAACAGTTATGGGTTTGAATCTCGAAAGGAGAAGAAAGAATCTGAAGGGATGTTCCCTTTTACCTGGGAAAAATTCTTAAAAAACATGTGATTTATAAAGGAGAAGTTGTAACACGGAGTTGAATGCCTCAATTTTCTCTAACAAAGCAACTGGAAATATATTTTCTGAAAAATCTTTCTCTTCTAAGTGGGTCTTTAAAACACACTAAGCAGGCTGTGCTATCCAGAGAGGTGGGAGTCCTGGAGACAATTATGGACTCATATGCAATTTACACTTCAAATAAAGATTAGGTACTAATTGAAAAAAAATATATATTTGTTATAGCAGTTTAATATCTATATACTACCTCCACCTAAACACTTTTTTACATGTTTCCACTGTTCTCTTCCTCCATCTTCCGGATACTTAGTTATTAATTCTACTTCTATTTCTAACAACTCAGCCACAGACTTTAATGATACCTTCTGTGCCATCAGGCTCTGCCTGCTCCTCCCGTTGTTTCTGCTTGAACTTCAGGTTGCCATAGTGCATGACAGCCCCTGTCAGCTTGTAGATGGCCGTCTTTTCATCAGCACTGAAGCCCAGGATGTCAATGGCACTCTGCAATAGGAACAATAAAATGAAAACTTTATCTGGGAGAGGTGACAATAGGTACAACTTTTAAAACTGTCACTTACATCAGTAGCCATCAGCTCCTCCTGGTCATTAATGCTGGCAACAGTGATCTCACCTTGACTCACAAAGTGATAGTCATATGGGTTGGTGGTAATGAGAAGCATGTCTGAAAGTAAGTGGGGACATGCAGGCTTAGTTTAGTAAAGCAAGTAATAGTGTAAGCTGCTGTTCAGCAGTCTTCCTCTGTGCTAGTAATTTCCATGTTAGTAATTTTTCCTACCAATTAGCTCTGGCTTCTTGTTGGACATGATCTGATAAAATATGTGGTAGCTTCTTTCGGCCTTGAGCTGGAAAGTGACTCTGGACTTCTCCAGCAGATCTGGAGGGAAATTTTAGTTAAAAACAAGAGAAACAACAAAAAAGTAGGGATAAGATGTGAAGAAAAACAGGGAAGGCAGAATAGGTGTTTGAGTCAAAAGGTGTTGTATGGATAGATAGGCAAATGGATGGATTCTGAACAATTCAGGAAATTATCTTACATGTTTCAATATCAGCAGAAGCTAGTTTTCCTGTGGCACCAAAGTGAATTCTGATGAATTTGCCCTTTAAAGGAATAAAAGTGTCTTAACATTTACATCATAAAAATATATCTGAAATGAAGCTTTTTGCCATTTAGTCCACTGGGTACAGACTTCTACTTAGAGACGTTTTCTTAATAATCAGTTTTATTTCCACCATTGACATAAAGTTGTCTTTAACATTTTTGACCATATAAATAATCAATAGTGGCACAGCTGTATATTTTATATATGCTAAATGTATAAACAGGAAGGAAAGGCTGGATTTCATTAACTAAACTCCTCTAACTATTTCCTACATACAGAAAGCATATGTCTTCATGATATAGAAATGGCCATTTAATTCAGCTGCTTAAATCTGTCTTGTTATCAAAAAAGTTATTTTTCACTTCTGATTAATAGAACTTGACATAAAGCAAACATATTATTCAAGCAGAAACTCCCTCTCCTCTTTCTTTCTTTCTTTCCTTCTTTTTCTTTCTTTCTTTCTTTCTTTCTTTCTTTCTTTCTTTCTTTCTTCTTTCTTTCCTTCTCTTTCTTTCTTTCTTTCTTTCTTTCTTTCTTTCTTTCTTTCTTTCCTCTTTCTTTCTTTCTTTCTTCCTTCCTTCCTTCCTTCCTTCCTTCCTTTCTTCCTTTCTTCCTTTCTCTTTCTTTCTTTCTTTCTTTCTTTCTTTCTTTCTTTTTCTTTCTCTTTTTTCTTTTCTTTATTTCTTCCTTTCTCTCTTTCTCTCTTTCTCTCTTTCATTATTCTTTTTCTTTCTCTATGTCTCTGTTTCTCTTTTTTCTAAACTCCCTCTATTTCTTTCTGGCATTTTTCTATCTGCCTTTTAGCAAACAGAAATATAAGCAAAAATAAACAAAACTGTCATTTAACACTGCAATATAGTATGGGAGAAAAAGCATGTAATCTCTTATTTTAATTTGCATCTCAATGTAAATTAGAATTATTTTTTTTCAAAGACTCAATGTTTTTATAATCTGGCAAATCACCTTTTGGACAAGTGGTAAAGTCATAGTAAGAATATTCTCTTACTCTTGAAAACTTGCTGGCTGAAGAACAGAAATACTGACTGCCATGTACTCATATTTATTATTCTTAGGAATCATTTGGTTAAGCAACTTACAAAACGTGAGGAATTGTCATTTCTCACAGTCTTGGCATTTCCAAAGGCCTCCAGCAGTGGGTTGGCACTGATGATTTGATCCTCAAGTGTTCCCTGCAGAATGACAATTATTGCTATTCAGAATTTCCAGAAATCATGTCAGGAACAGAGAAAAACATTGATTGAAGCTAGTATTTATTAATTTGCCTGCATTTTGCCAGACTGCTCTTCTTTCTTCTTATCCCCGCTCGCTGCAATTGTTGCAAAGTACTGGATGACACGTTTTGTGTTCACAGTCTTCCCTGCACCAGATTCTCCACTGTGAAACCAAAGAAAGAAGCAGAGAGTGTGAGGCCAGGCAGGACATCTCCTGTCACCAGGCAGTCCTGCAGGGACGTGAGAAGAGAGTGTACGTACGTGATCAGGATTGACTGGTTCTCGCGATCTGTGAAAAAAGCAGAAATACAGTACTCAAAACTCAATGAACAAAACAGAAAGAATAAAATATAGTCAGGTAAGTTTAATGTTTTCAACTCTATGTTGTCAGCTTGACTTCAAACAAACAAACCCCCCTCCACAACACTTACTGAGTGCAGAAGTGTCTTTCATTAAAAACAGTAGAAACAATTGTTTGAAGATAGTAAAATGCACATTAGTATGCATGGAACAGAAACTTGAAAGGTTTGAAAAAGTCTCAGTCCTGAGAGAGAGTCACTCACCCGTCAGCATGAACTGATAGGCATTGTCAGAGATGGAGAAGATGTGTGGAGGGGCCTCCTGGCGCTTCTTGCCTCGGTAGGCCAACACCACCTCTGGGTTGTACACTGGCAGCCACTTGTAGGGGTTGACAGTGACGCAGAAGAGACCCGAGTAGGTCTGCAAGGAAGAGACAGCACATTGGCCATCGCTTAGCCTGGCAGAGCAGTTCCTCCTAGCTACCCAAAGGAAGCCTGCTGCTGGTACTTACGTAGATCATCCAGGCTGCGTAACGCTCTTTGAGGTTATACAGCACAGCAGGTTCGTGGAGGTGGGTCATCATGGCCATGTCCTCGATTTTATCATACTTGGGAGGGTTCATGGAGAAGATTTGATCTTCCTTCACAGTCAGGGTCTGTCAGAGGAAGAAAGAGATGCATGTATGTCAGACAGACATTTGATTTCGAGTTGAGATTGGGAATCAAATTATGATCTTCAGCCTTGTTTTTCTCTCACCTCTCCACCTTCAGTCTTGACGGTGACCTTCCCTGGTTCTTTGCTCTGGATTGTCCCTTTCACAAAGGATTCCTTAGGATGCACCACAAAGACCGATGTCTTGGCATCGAAAGGCTTGTTCTGGGCCTCGATTCTCTCCTTCTCTGACTTTCGGAGGTAAGGAGCTGCCTCCCCAAAGATGGCCATCTCAGAGTCTGATGACATGGCTGCACTTTATGGAGGGGCTTGTCAGCAAAGATCACTGTAGAAGAGCAGATATGTTGCTCAATTCTGTCAAAAAGTAAGTGCTTGTTAGTAGAAGAAAAGATGTAAAAAGAAAGATACTATATTAATACTACTCAGAGCTTTTTCTGAAGTAATTGCATGTTTTTTCATTTATGTGATTCAACATTTATGGAAAATGTGAAAACTATATTTTGGAAGATTGCTTGGTTTAGGGACCACTGTACTGAAATCGCATTTGAAATATTCTGTAGTGACTTACTAGTTAAGTATTTAGGCACAGTACTGTGGAGTTAAGAACCTCAAAATTCCTGTCATCTGGTTAAGCACTCTTTTAGATTTCACTTGAAATTTTTATAATGCAGTTTCTTCCCAAGTAATATGAGCTCAGAAGGCTCATACACCACTGTCTTGAGTGTCATACACACAAGTGGAGCATCATAATGGCTCAGTTTCAGTCTCTAACACGGTTGTGTCATTGTTTTGATGATACAAGTATTTTCTAAATTTAGTGAGTTCTTGAGTCCAGACATAAATAGCTATAATGCTGTTAAAAGTACAGCTGTTCCAGAACACACTGACATAGCTCCATTTCTATTATAATTTTTTTGCTTTTAAAAATTAATATAATTTTAGAGGAAAACAAAAATTCAAAGCTCAACTCAGGAATTTAAATAAATAAGTTTTAAAGCCAGGATTAATTTCTCTGGCAAGTTACATTTTTACCTTTTATTTCCCAGAAGAAAAACAGTGGACAGCTTAGGAAAACATTTATTTCTTTGCTGTATAATGTTTGGCACATAATATTTACACAACAATTAAAACTGTACTACAATGAGAGAGTAATATATAATTCTTTATTTGTCCCTGCAGGAACAGGTGGTGGCTTACAGAGGAGGAGGGCTGCAGTTTCCAATTTTTCATGAGGTAGAGAACAGGCAAAGCATTAAGGGGAGCAAACAACAGCATTGCATTTCAGAGATGGCAAGCAGAGCTTAGTTGCTCATATTACAGCTCTTTATACTCATACTTGTTTAGTGATTTCATGGCAATTTTTGGACAAAATAATACATTAATTCACATGCTCTGAGACAAAATGTTGCATTTTGCACTTTTTACTACTGTGCTTATCTTGGTCCAGTTCTACTGCTGTGACAGCAACAAGGTCAGCATGCATCCCTCCCTGTTAGGAGAGTTAAGCAGAAATGAAGAATGCCCCCATGGGGATTTTTTGTTCTGCCATCAGTGGTCAGAGACTTCAGACGCAGCCACTTAAAGATTGGACCAGATGATTTTTCAAGCTCACCTCCAACCTGGATTGTTCTATGATTCGATTCACTTGAAAACCTTACCAGCCTTGGGCATCCCAACACCTTCTACTGTGAACACATTTGTTTTGAAAATATAGAGTGAAACTGTGACCATTCACAGAAATTCCACCCAAAAAGGTCTTTCTCTGCTCTCTAAGAACTAATAAATCAGGCTCTTACCTCTTGTGACACCAGATGGATGGCTTTCAGGCTGGCAGCTGGTCAGTACTGTAAAACAGAAATGGCGACTTTCTACTTGCTGCTGCACAGAAATCCAGAGTGAAAATGTGCAGATGCCTTGAAAGCAGATTTAATGCCTGAGCTGATAAATTGAGTCCCCTCCTGGAATTGAGCATTGGAGGCACCAGAAAGGCAGCTGTGGCACATAAATGCACCAACCCCTTCCTGCAAGTCTGCGGACCCCATACACTTACCTTAAAGCTTTCCGTGGAGGCAGGGCAGACTTGCCTCAGGGAGATTTTATACGATCTAGTCTGCAGATGCTACAGATGCCTACTCTTTCTTCGGTCAAAAAATTTTTGGCAAACCTTCTTTGGCAAAGCATTGTCTGGCAAACTGAACTAAGGGCATAATTGTCATTTGACATGACTAGATATAATTAGAAATTTTTTATGTCTTACTGACTATATGAATACATCTCCTATAAATAATTTGACAAGGGTGTTAAGGAGGGAATCTGGACTAGTCAAGGCACTTAGAGAACTTGGATGCAGGACTTATGGATTCTATTGCTGGCTTTCCCACCAACTTACTGTATGACCCAGGGTGGATTGCTTGGTATGTCTGTGCTGCAGCTATCCCAGCTGTACAATGAGGATGACATGTGGTGATGTCAAGCTTGTAAAAAATATCTAAGAGCAATACATTAAGCAGACCACTGCAAGGGAAATAAGTATTACCAAAAGCATTTGGTGGCTGTGTTGGTAAAATTCTGAAAGTAGAGGTGTAATCTGGGTCCTTCAGTGTGGTAGTACTAGTGCCTGAGAGTCACAGGCATGGCAAAAAGACGACGATTTGGTCACAGCAATAGGAGGCTGGGATCTAGCTGAACTAGTGGCTTGGAGTCTCAAAGAGAGATGTGAGATCAATTCTGACGTATGAAGGAGAGCATGCATACACTAGTGCACATGTACCCATCTGTACACTTGAAATTACAAAATGTGGGAGATTGTTCAAGAAGTGTTGTTATAAGACTATACATTAATTCATCCTAAGGGAGATGTCATAATGTATGCTCCGATTTCTGCTATGTAGCTCAGTGCAGCTGAACAGCAGCTTTCTTTTCTTGATGATGTTTAAATTCAGTATCCATATAGACAATTCAGGAAAGGACCTCAGTTCTTTCTTATGTTGTTTTTCCAAGTCTCACCTGTCAATCTGTACCATAAAAAAAATAAACTGCTGATTTGGGCCTGTAGAAAACTATGCCATTTGCATGTTCATCCACCTCTTCAGCAAGGATTGGTTACAGGTTGTTACAGAACCTATATATCAACCAAGTCTTTTTCCATTCCTGCAGAAATTTCTGCTACTGCAGAATTCCAGAACCCTTCCACCATCCCAGAGCTCAAATCACACATCCAGAAGACAACGTAGGAAAAAGGACTTGCAATCCATCAATACACAGCACTTCTCTCCAATTCCTTTAACGTAAACAAACCACAGTCTCAGCTCAAGCCAGTCTCATATATGCATGCTCCCAGTGTCAAATTCACCAACCAGGAAAATAGCAAATACCTCTTCAACCCTTTCCTATCCACATCTCCCAGAAACCAATGTGTTGCACTTTTACACATTCATACAGTTTTTGCAACAAAAGCTGTCAACACTGTGGTGCCTGTATCAGAATATCAGAGGCAGTAGGTAGTTCTGTACAATGCTGATACTCTGAGAAAGGAGGATTTGCTGGTAGTGACTCATCTAGTTTTGGGGAAAGGGCACTGTCACTTGAGCTGCTTCAAATGTGGTCAGTTCTAAACACGCTCTTCTCCTGGTCATTGGCATTTTGCTTATTGAAAGGGGTCAGGGACACAGTGACAAGGTTAGACAAATCATGCATGTGATCCAAGGTAATATCCAACATTAGGCACTACTCTGTGCGTGAAGAGCTTGCTCCTAGAAGGGCTCTTACATTGCAGCACCAACATTTTGTGCGTCTGGACCCCAGTCTGGAAATCAAACCTGCTCCAAACTGAGGTGCTGGGATGCCACATAGTGTTCAGCAGTCCAGTGGATTACTGGTCCTCACCAATGAGGAGACAGGAGGGACAGGACAGGAGGGATCAGAGCATGGCATGAAGAAGGCCATGGGAGGAGCAGGGATGTCTGAGGCCTCTCCCAGGATGTGAGAGCTGAGGATTTTCTCCCATCAGGTTGAGGAGGAAGCTCTGGTCTCCCATTCTCAGGAAAGTGTAAAGGCAGCATCCTCTGGCAGCAACAGGTTAAGTAGAATAATAGAATGGCTTGCATTAGAAAGGACCTTCAAAGATCATCTAGTCCAACACCCCTACTGTGAGCAAAGAAATCT